TGTTTGAAAAGCCGAAAACTGCTGTGATGGGTCTCCACAGACCTCTGGTAATGGATATAGTATTGATCATATGTCATTTCCTCTTGGCAACACACTTCATCTTGTTGGACTTGACCCACACAGGCTGGGCCCATAGTCGTTCTGACTGTACTGTATACATGCGATCACGATAAGAAGTGCGAGAGTGTCTGCTGTTGAAGCCGGTTATGGATACTCTGGAGTAGGTCCACTCTCGCAGTATGCCCGAGCCCATAGGCCCTATGGGATCTCTCGAGGCCTACTTCAAGAGATTAATCACCGACCCACGAGGCTTCGAGGCCTTTCTCCGCGTGACGGGCTTCTTCCAGAAGATCTGTCCGCGGTAGCAGCACCCACACTTACGTAGGTGTGAGTGCGGACTACAAAGAACCCCCCGATTCCAAGGGACGATCTAGGAAAGAATGAAATTGGGGCACCAGCGGGAACCGGGGACAGACAGAACGCGTAGTGGCCACAAGGCACGACTTGGAGGACGATGTAAAGAGACGACGTACTGTAGAGTAGGTAGGCTTGGCTCACGGCCCTCCACGCCATATACCCTTCGGGAGGTCTGCGGTAAGGGCCTAGGTCCCTCCGCCATGGCGTTAAATACAACAACAACAACAACAACAACTCTGGAGTAGGTCTTGATTACGCGCTGCCCCTCGCACTGTCGTACACTATCCCGACCCCACATTTTGGTTTCCAAACTAACCGCTACAGCCATTACCAGAGGTTTGCGGAGACCCATCACAGCAACTTTTGGATTCTCAAACATTGGAATTGTTTGCGAGAGAGGAAGTGACTTATGATCAATACTGTATAGCGGTTGATTTGCGAACCAAAATGTGGGGTCGGGATGGCAAACGACAGTGCGAGGGGCAGCGCGTAATTAAGAGCTACTCCAAAGCATCCATAACCGGCTTCAATAGCAGTCATTCTCGCACATCTGATCGTGGTCGCATGTACACAGTAAGAACGACTATAGGCACAGCCTGTGTGGGTTAAGTCCAAAAAGATGAAGTATGTTGCCAAGAGGAAGCAACACATGATCAAAACCATACATATACTGCACAAAGAAGAGCTGGAAGCACAGAGGTCCAACAGGAAGTTACCTGTAGATCACATTTTCATGATGGCTGACGATTCTTGTGCCACAAACCGAGTGTTCAAAGAGAGCGATGCCTTCTTTGAAATACTGCGGCATAAGAAGAATCATCAAACCCGTCAGGTCCATCGTTTAGAAGACCTCTTATCTCCTAATCAGAAGAGGGGCGCGAGGCAGATCGCCGAGCACCCGCAATTCCGTCGCGCATTCGAAAGATTGGCGGGTATCCCAGGCATTCGATCGGGTATGTTGACGGGCAGTCTTCACAAATTCACTAGTGTTCGCTGCGATGAGGTTTGTATTCTCAGCATCTTCCTGACTGGACCGGATTAACGATACGTATAGGAAATTGTCAATTATTTGGAACTGATCTATGATATTTGGCTGCACGTCGTTGGGGGAATCGAGTCCAACCTAGTCAAGATCGACAAGGATACAGTGCAGCTCTTGGAGCTCAAGTGCCCTGGCTTCTCCACCAGAGATGAACGAGATCTTCGCGACATTGTGTCCAGCGGCCGGGCGTTCAGAAACTTCGACCAAACTGAAC